ATTATTATTATTATTATTATTATTATTATTATTATTATTATTATTATTATTATTATTTCTGGAAAATTTCGTCACATCAAAAATTTTGAAATATTTTGAATTATTACTATTTAATATTGAAATTATTAAATTGAATTTAATATTGAAATAGCTATTGTTCAGTTTTTACCTTTTTCTTTTTTTTTGATGAGATTAACAAAGCATTTAAATAGGTCTATTCTATTCATTTTTAATAAAAATAATTGTCCAATAATGAAATGATTTTCATAACGTGAATGATTTTTCAGCGATAGCATAAAAAATACATATATATATATACATATGTATATATGCACAAGCTTTTTTCAATAATATCGAAAAATTTATTGTTAATAATACTTTGGTGACAGGAATTTTAGGACAGGGAAAATAGTCACGGAAGTATTAAAATTCCCTTGCAATCATTTCTTTTTTTTTTTCTTAAATTTGAATTTTTCCTTTTCTTTTTCCCCTTTTTTTTTTAATCGTAACTTTTTTTCTTAATGAATTTAACAAAATGTTTTAAAAAAAAGCTTATTCTAATCATTTTGATAAAAAAAATGATTATTCAAAAATGAAATAATCATTTTTATTAAATGATTATTTGTTGCTTACCAGTGACAAGCAATAATAATGGTTGAAAAAAAAAGAATGAAAATTTGCATAATTAAAAAAAAAAAAGATTTGAAAAATTTTTATAAATATACGAAAAAACAAATAAATTTATCGATTTGACATATTTACTGGTAACAAAGAAAAAAAAAGGCGTAAAAAAAAACGCAAATAAAAAAAAAAATACAAAATGCATTATATAAAATACTATTATTTTTTTTTTTTAAAGACAAATCAAAAAATGAAATTGAAATTTTTTTTTAAATTTAAGAAAATATTCAAAAAAATTTTTATGAGTTATACGTTACATTACATTGCTTAAGAGGAGCAACTAAAATGAGAAAATATTTTAATGTGATCAAAATAAAAAAAAAAAAAGAAATGAAATAAAATAAAATAATGCTAATAAAACTGAAACTACATAAAATTCAGGCTACAGTTTTCATCATTTTCATTTCAAATTGCTATTTTTTAATTTGCAATAAAACTTTATTTAACACTGAAAAATAAAAATGATTAATTAGAAAAAAAAAAAAAA